CCACACAGCGGAAGGAGAAAACTGACCGCAAGTTGTTCTCTGACTTAACAAATGTAAAACAATAATGATTTCTATTATTACTATTATTACTATTTGGTTTTTTGAGACAGGGTTTCTCTCTGTAGCCATTCTGGAATTTACTCTGAAGACAAGGCTGGCCTCAAACTCAGACATTCGCCTGCCTCTGCCTCCCAAGTGCTGGGATTAAAGGCATGTGCCACCACCACCTGGCCAAAAAAAAAAAAAAATTACGTTTCAAAAAGAGTAGCTAGGTCCCACAGGCTCTTTCTCACTTGAAAGCTATGCATCCTACCATCATGTGGCTTACGATGCTAAAACTATAGCAGATTTGACTTAGCAGGGTCAGGTCTCCCTCTGCTAGTATTGATGGTTTCTAAGCTTGGGAAGAAAAGGTAACTCCCATCCCTGGGTAGTGGATCCCCAGCCAGAGTCAGCACTGTAGCATGATACAGCAAACATGAGCTGTGAGAAAACACCAAGGTCATTCTCCTGGTGTAGCCCGGGGGCCTCTCTGCTCCGAAGGTGCTAGGGAGGCTTCAGTGTCTCAGTGGTGGCTATGTCTCCAGCCGAAGCTGACAACAGGCATGACCCTAACGGCCCACAATCCACGGAGCTCAGCTATTCCTAGTCCAGCAGGCTTCTGGAGGCAAGTGTTTGCAGTCTTAGCAGTTCTCCACTTTACCCCACAGGGAACTTGTAACGGTGGCCACACCCCCTTGGGCGTGGCCTCGGGCAGACAGAAGGCCCGGCTGAGACAGGAGGATCCCTTGAGCCCAGGAGTTCTGGGCTGAAGTGTGCTGTGCCTATCGGGTGTCCGTACTAAATTCGGCATCAATATGATGACCTCCTGGGAGTGGGGGACTACCAGGTTTCCTAAGGAAGGGTGAACCGGCCCAGGTCGGAAACGGAGCAGGTCAAAACTCCCGTGCTGATCAATAGTGGGATGGCACCTGTGAGTAGTCACTGCACTCCAGCCTGGGCAACATAGCAAGACCGCTACACTAGCCCCTCCCTTTGTGACTCACTGGTTCCGTCTTCCCGAGCAACCTGGCCACCTCACTGGCGTAGCTGTCCCACTCAGCATCCATCTTCCTGCCTGCTTTCCTGTAGAGGCATGGTGGCCTCCCTGGACCTGCACACGGCAGGTTCTAGGAGCTGATCCTTGAATGATGAATGTCAGGGACAGAAGTGGTCTTCCTGAATGCAGGGGAGAAGGATGAGTAGAGCCTGGAGGCTAGAAGGGGCCTCATTTATTATCCCCCTCAGGGGCAACCCCAGAGCAGCTTTCTGTAGCATACGCATAGGAAGCTGCTTGCGGAAAGAGTTTCCTGAAAATAAAAGAAACTGTGACAGCAATGATGAAGGTGGCAGTACTTGGAAGCTTGATGGTGCTAAATTTGGAACTTCTAACACCAAAAAAAAGAAAATAAAAGCATACGCACCACGGATAACCCCTTCCTTGACTTGCAGAGGAAGCCAGCCTGCCTCCACGGGTCAGTCCTCCACAGCACACACAGAAACACTGAGGGAGCCTTCCTGTAAACACAGTCACCAAACTAATCCGTTCCCACTCAGGATGTCACAGCATGTGTTTAATGAATGAGGCAGGAAGCGTCCCACACAGGCACACACCTCCCTTTTAGTCCAATAAAAGACTCTCTCTAGCATCAATAAGGATAGAGGAAAGAAAAAGAAAGAAACCTCCTCTGTTTGGTTTCCTCCCTGACCATAACCAATAACAACTGGCAAACAACCCTCCTAAACCATGACAAACATCCACAACACACCGAAAACCAAAAGCACCTACTCTACCTCTAAGGAATCTGGGCATCATGTTCTTAAAATTGCTTCCTGTTGTGTGGTGTCAACTGTATCTTTAGGGGACCCTGAGAAAGTTGGGATAATGGTTAGGTACCGGGAGAGCTAGCTGTATCCAGTCTGTGTGTGATGGGTGCAGGGCTGATCTGAACTCCTGGCTGGAGTAGTCTGGGAGGCTGGGCCATCTCAGCTGACAGCTTTGAAGTTGTCCTGGATGTAGATTCCTGAGGAAATGGAGCCATTCTGAGAGGCTGGATCACCTAGGCTGCTTGTCTTCACTGGTGTCTGTTTCTTTTGTTCTAGAAGCACACAAACTTTTAAAGGTGACATACATGTCAGCATCAGCACAAGTGTGGAATGTGCAGTGTGTGCAAGTCAGCTACAGATGCTTTTCTGCTCCATGTTTGAGCAGGTAAAGGGCATCTGTCGACTTTTTAAGTTCATTTGAACTACATAAACAAACTGTCATGAGGACTCTGTAGCCACAGGATTTACCATGTCTCATCCGGTCTCAGAGCTGTTCCCATGTAGAGGGATCTACATATACATCCCATGTCTAGTGGTTTTCCTTGGTTTCTTCCTTCATGCCTGCAGTCAAGGTTTTCAGGAGGTCTCACCTGATCAGTTGCGGTGTTTATTAATTTTGGAGGAATCCATAGCTTTTTGTTCCCTGTGGAAACAAAGGCATAATCTCTCCCCCAATGCAACACACTTCCTGACTTCCACTATAAAGTTAAGAAATCCTTAAAGCATATGGGTTAGTTTAATTCAGTTTTTTTTCCCTCAATCCAATGTCTCTCAGCAGCTGTTTTTTTCCTAGTCATTAGCACTTAAAATTTAAAGCTAATAAAGTACTATATATGTTCTGAACGCCCTGTATTTTGATATTTCCCATCATTATTCTTTTTATCTTTCTTTACTCTCTCTTTAAAGACTTCACTTTATTATTTTCAAGCTATTTTTTCTATGACTGTCTATACCTATTTTCTTTTCTTTCTTTGGTACCAAAGCACATTTTCAAGCATACTGTACCTGTTCCCAGGTTTTCTCTGTCTGCACCTGGCTTTTTGCATAGCTACAGCATGAGACAATTCTTAAGGGCCAGGCCGCCCATTGCGACCAACCCAATAGGAAAGGGAGATTGCATGAGTGTGTACAAGCTTTCCAGAGAGACTGCAGCATTTGCACACCGTGACTCTGGGAAAATGTTTTGCATGTCTGCGGCCTCCTTCTGTAGTTCTTTAGCTCATGGCCCTGGTGGCTGGCTCTGCCCCACCTTGGGTTGGTCCAGCAGGCTACCCCACTGGTTCTGGGCTGCAACAGTTGCTTGTTTTTCCTTGAGAGCCTAGCCTCACACCCCCAGGCAATTGCCTGCCTGAGAGCTGTGGTTGCTAGGAAGCTGCACCCGGCTCAGTGTCCAGAACTTTTCTCAGCTTTCTCTGGCCCTATGTTTAGATATAAGTGCCATGCATTGGCACCAATAATAGCTGGACTTTCTTTAGACCACCAGCTCCCGAATAATGACACTGACTTTTTATTAATTAAAATGAAAGCTCGCCTTAGCTCAGGCTTGTTCCTAACTAGCTCTTAAAATATAAATTAACCCATTTATATTGATTTACATTCTGTCGCATGGCTCATTACATATTCTCAGTAATGTACATCCAGTTTTCTCCATGTTAGCTGGTGAACCCCGCCTCAGCTTCTTTCCCAGAGTTCCTATCTCTGCCCAGACATCCCACCTATCCTCTCCTGCCTAGCTGTTGGCCATTCAGCTCTTTATCAAACCAATCAGAAGTTACCCAAAAGATTATTTGGACACAGGAGTCCTTACACATCTTGCAGCAGTCTTGCAGTATCTGTGATAGGGTTAATGTTGCATTTGTAAGACCACACCAGCTACAATCATCAGTATATTGCTTGCTTGCAATATTTTCGATAACATTAACCAAATGGCAACGCATTGTATCAATTCAAAATACTAGCAATAGTACAATAGTACTTTAATCTCACCTCTCCACCCCAAGTCTTCACTCAGTCTGTCGCAGCATATGACAGCTCTACACGATACAATGCAACAAGTTTGTCTTTCACTCTCTGGAGTCTAGACTCACTGAGACTGGCAACCTGTAAATCCTCAGCCTAGTAATGGCATGGTGCTTGTCCTTCTCCCCACATTTGAAGACACACTCCAAAACAGCACTGGTACAGCTCATCTGTGCTCCTGGTACTTTGGGCCCCTCCTTTGGCCTCTGCACCCAAGGGAAAAAGAGAGTGTGTGTGGAGGGACCAGACCATATATCCTGCTCTCTACACAAGTAACACATGGAGTTTGGATATATGCTGTGTCCATTCTTTAACTATTCAACAGCTGAGCGTTGACTTTGGTACATCCAGGAAGACACAATTTCACAGCATCCTAGAGGTCAACCCTGGGGGCTGATCCTTAGGAGCCATCCACCTTGATATTTGAGACAGGGACTTTCACTGGCCAGAGGCTCACCAATTAAGCCAGTTTGGATGACCAACAAGCCCACAGATATGCCTATCTTTGTCTTTCCAGGGATGGATTTATATGGACCAACATGCTTGGGCTTTCTACATGGGTTCTACAGAATGAACTAAGGTCCTCATGCTTGCAAGGCAAGTACTCTGTCAGACGAGAAATCTTCCTAGCTCATTAAATTTTTTAAGCCTCTTCTACACTAGGAAGTGATATGAATGAAAGCTAAGTGTTGTGACTCTACATCCCAGGATCTCCTGAGCAGCTTGACAAACCCTGTGATGTGGGCAAATCTTGATCAAGAGCAGAAGAATTGCTCCTTAGTTAGAAACAAAAATACCCAGTGGAGAAAAGGACATGAGTATTCACACACAACCCTCAGAGCAGCTTCAGGCTATGGGAAGAATAGTTTATGGAACTGGAGAATCTGACATGTCAGCATACCAGATAAGGAGATCTCCAGTGTGGTGGCCAAGTCTCCATGGTTGAGAGCCACCCTCTATAGGCAGCTGTTTCTTCAGGGGCAGTGACCCTCCCGCCTAGTCCTTACACTGCAGATGTACCCACCTGGGGTGTTGAGACAATGAAGACAGACACACAAAAAGAAAAATCAGGATCACATGACCTGGACTCCCTGATGGAGAAACCACAGGACTCCAGAAGCTTAGCGAGTTTATTATACACAGTTGAGCAGAGAGGCAGAGTTTCTGCACACAACTGAACAAGGAAGCTGGTGATTACAGATAAACAAGGAGGCGGGACTTATGGTACACAGCTGGATCAAGAAGACAAGTTTAGCTAATTTGTACAGGAGCAGGCTCTGTAGGGGAGCAGCCTTCAGACCGTAAACACGGAGGGACAAGCTAATAATGATATTTTCTGCACATACTGTCAACATCCCCACATGGACCAGAGGAAAACTTTGTCATCCCTCTAGGGATGCCCTGAGCCTCACTCTGTGGGGAAGACTGCCATTTGCCCATGGCTCTGAGGTTATGGGACCCTTGACATGGCTATGCCCATGTTGACAGCGTACATTTAATCAGGACTTCACTCACTTGGAGCTTAAACCCTCCTAGGAGGGATGGCACTGTACGGCGATCTATTCTTCCTGTAATTTTGTGCGATGAAGTGACTGGGGGTTCTAAGCATTTAAAAGGACCACCTGAGGGCAGAAGGATGTGGTTCTGCTCTGAGCTTTTAGGGCCACACTGCCGGGATTTGCTGTTGCTGTTGAGTGTGGGCCTCACTGTGACAGTGCCTGCTTTACCACCTTTTGTTTGCGTTTCTGGTTCCTTCCAGCAGCCATTGCCCAGCAACTGGTGGCCCAGGAGCTTCTCCATCCTGGCTGAAACTGTGGCCCTTGGTCTTATTGAGAACATCCTTCAGGGAAAGGTTTCTGTCTAATGCTGCGGGATCTACATGCCTTAGACAAAGGAGGTGTCCTCTCTGGGGACCTCAGAGACTGATGGCTAGGAAAAGCCAGAAGCAGAGGCTCCACCAGAGCTGAGATGTTCAGGAGAGGACAAATAAGGAAACGCAGCAGCAGGCAGGAATAGGAAGGGTCCGTCACAATGTTTGCCAGTGAAAACATTCAGTATTTGGAGCATGTTTAGGAAACTGAATATGAAAAATATACACTGTGCACAATATAAATCATGCATGTATATTTAGCTGTGGTTTTCCACTTCAGCAACAGAAAAAGACATAAATACAAAATCTACACATGTACGAACTTGGCTTGTTTCTTTATCCCATTTTAATGCATGTGTACATTTGGGGAAGTTTGCATTTATCCCATTGTAATACACATGTACAGTTGGAGAAATTGAGCAGTCCCTGAATCTGGCCATTAGCAGCAGCAGCTATTGATTCGTCATTTCCGGGAAGTAAAATACAGTGGCCCTTCCGCATCCTGCGGGCTGTGGGTAGACCTTCGGCATGAGAACAAAGTGAGACTCCGTGTCCAGCTCTGAAGGAGAAGCAATGGTGGGCTGGGATGGGAGACGACGCCCCTAAGAAGCACAGCGCGTGTAGTCCCCTGACCTCCTTCCCACTGTGACCCACACTTAAAGTGTCCCAGTTCACTGGACTCAGATGGCGAATGGATAAAGCCTGGGATGCAGGTGGGCATGGCCACCACACCAGACTACAAGACCCAGAATCCCCCACTGTGAATAACAAGCCCACTTCCCACTACCTGCGGCTGACTCCAGGCTCTCCTTACAGTAAGTGGAGTCCATGCCTGCCAATCAGAGTGGCAGCATGGATTGATTGGCCAGTGCAGAGAGGAGGAACCAAGCCGCTCCTCTAGAAAGGGTGCACCCTCTGCTCCATTGGGGAAAACCCACAGTTGGGAAGGATCCGTAGCCAAGGCCGGAGGTTTGAAACTGAATACAAGCATGAAACTACTGGGGTACTGAGGTGGCCTGACTGTTGTCACTTCAAAGTCTCCTTACCTTCCATGACCTCCACAGAAGTGTGGCAACATGGAGTTCCATATGCTCAGAAGGTGTTTGTTGGATCATGTTTTTATCAGGCACTGTGCTAGGAGCCACGGAAACAAGCTAGAATGGAAAACTGGAGACAGAGGGAATTATTCAAATATAGTGGCAAACGCTAACTCCACAAGTGTGCTCTGGCATTCACCCTCAGAGGAAGGACTCCAAATGATGAATTCAGACACAACTATGATTAGTTTAATCCAAGAAAGACTCTTATTTTATCATGAGGACTGAAAAGACAAACGGAGAGGCTGAGAGCGTTAGTGTCAGGAATGGCTGTATCCAGCTCAAGCACGGCCCATTGTCAACTTTACCTGTCTGCATAAGAACAGTCTTGCTCCGCTGCCCAGCTTCTTCTAGGGCAGAACAAGGTAGAGCCAAACTCCCAAGCCATACCCCTCTGACTGGAGAACCCTGTTTGCTTCCTCGGCGATGCTGTGAACTCCTGTTGTCTGGTCTTTGACCATAGCGCACCTGCGAAGGAGAGTCTTTCTGCCAGTGTAAGTAAACGGTATGATGGAGAAGTGACTCCCTGGAAGGCACCGATGCTACAGCACAGCAGTGATTCGGGGCCAGAAAAACAGTTTCCCTCCCCTCCGCTATGCACAAGCAAACCTTGGAAGTAGAGGAGCCCCCAAGGGAGACGATCCTGAGCTGAGTCTTTACCAAAGAAAGGGAGTCCACTTCGGGACACACAGAGCCAGAGGCCCTGTGGGATTGCCAGTCAAGCATCCTCTGGAGTACACTGGGATTCCAGCACAACCGCAATGTCACTCAGGAGGGTGGAGAGTTAGCCCAAGGAATGCGCATGTGCAGTAGTGTTGCATCCACCAGCCCCCATCTCAATGCTTAGCACCCCTGGAGCCCGTGGCAGCCCTTCTGCTGGTCTGGCCAGGGCTTTGCTGTTTCTGTGTTAGATCCTGCTGACCCAGTTAGGACTGGGCCAGTGGCTTCATGCGTTATACACTTTATACACCCTAAGTTCTATATCTGATGTACTTTAGACCATAGACAGGCTTCTGGTGTTTAAAGAAGGCCGCTATCTTATTCTTCAACATGTCCATACAGGTTTAGTTCATGCTGGTTGTGTAGTTGACCCTAGTCACAACAGTCTCAGACCATGTGTTTTGTGAGTGCACAGCCTCCCTCACCCCTTGCCTTCACCCTGCCAGCTCTGGCCAATATCTGGCTCAAAACAAGGAAGATTCCAGGATTCTGGAGGGATCTGTGGTCCTCACTGTTCCTGGCTCCACTCAGAGCTGCTGGGCTCCAGGCCGTGTCCTTCTGATGAGTTCCAGCTGCCCGCGGGGCCAGGTCACTCCAGGCATAGGGCTTGCAGGACATGATTTCCAACTACCCAGGGACGGCCATGCTGGGACCCGTGTTAAGGGTGCTGTGTCAAAGGTTATGGTGGGGCTAGCTGCACTTGACACTGAGGGGCAGAGGGCATATATAGTAAGTCCTCTGAGGAGGCCTCACACGCACAGCCCGAGGAGCCTTCAGGCAGAGGGTGAGGGAACAGGCTCTTCCATCAACAGGCACAAGGGGGATGCCCCACGCTGCATCTCTGCTTCAGAGGCACTCACTCCCACTCTCTCACACCCTATCCCTTGTGAGCAGGGCCTGCCCTGTCCCCCGAATCCAAGTGGCCAGCTGTGACCTGTGCCATCGGCAGCCAGTCCTGTGTTCTAGAAACAGGGGAGTCATCTGACATAGCCCATCAGAGGTGGAAACGTGACATTAATACTCACCCACAGAGGTCAGAATACGCAGCACTGATATTAGAAGTGGAGACATGTGACAGTAGATATCAGAAGGTCACATGCCTGATGTCACCTTAGCTGGAGCACTCAGGCCTTACTGCTGACCTGTCCCTGGGACCTCTGACTTGCTCTCCTGAAGTCCTCCACACAGCTTCTCAAGTACACATGACCCTTTCAAGCATTTTCGGAGTGTCCTTGGTTGTGTAATGTGCCTGGGCCATGCTTGGGGACTTCAGCAGGTCTATCTAGAGGCATGTCCTATGGACATTGAGAGACACCGGATGCCCGGTCATTGCTCATGTTGGAAGTAGGTGTGTATGGTGAGAGGTATCTGAACACAAGACTCATTGGTTAAATACTGCTGGGCGGTGCCCCAGCTGTCTGTTGGCCCCTGTGGATCCTTCACCTAACTTCATACAGCACAGTTTTCAAGCCTGGCGTGGCTGTTCCGTAACCATCCCCCACCCGAGTGTGGCTACAAACAAGTTTAGAGAGGTAATTAGGAATTGATGAGTTTTGTTCTTGGTGTATTTGATTTGAAGCTCGTGAACGTTCATTTTTAATAATAGCAGCTATCTGACTGGTAAGCTTCCAGCACTCTGACAGCTCCCAGCTGCCTCCCCACCAGCCTGTGTCTCTCTTTGAGCTAGCATCCAATAGCAACAGCCCTCTCTCTGCCCACTGACCCGGGTCATTCTGGGGAGCCTTGCTGAGGTCTCTTTATGGCCTTTTCAGAGCTTGCACTTCCTCTCTCAGAAGTAAAATGAACCCACAGTCAGATGAGCCCTGGGGATCCTCTGCTTAAGCCCCACCTTAATTACATGGCACCAACTGGAGACCTTGGTCCGTGGGTGCTGGGCTGAGACTCAGCCTGTGTTCCTAACGATCCCCACAAGAGCAGGCAGACCACAATGCAGGCAGCAGAATCAGCCAAATACCTGCATCTGAGGAGCAAGAATCTGAGGCACAGGAAGGTTTCCCCAGACCTCCGCAGCTCATGGAGAGTGAGTGGCAGCTTGTCCTCACCGAGTCTCACCTCCTTGTCTCGATCTGCCTTACAGTTCTCTTCCTACTGAATGTGGTGACCATTCTCAGGCATTTCCCTGACATGCTCATGTGAACACACATGTTAAACAAGCCATAAAGAATGGCTATAGGGACAAAATGGCCCAGGATATTTGGTTAATTGCATGAGGGTAAATATGTAAGACCAGCTGAAGAGTGTGATCCTCCACGCCTCGCATCCCGCAGGCTCGGGTTCTCCAGATCTCTGTGTGTAGTGCAATTCTGCCATCATTTGTCTGTATGCTTGTCACGTGCTGGGGACACTTCTGAGACAGCTGCCACCAACCCCAAGGCCCTGGCACTCGTTGTTTTGCCACACTGTCACCTTAGGTCAATAAACTGGAAAATGCCTTTTCCTCTGGAACTGGGAAGACAGCATCCTTCACGGATGGCTGGCACCAAGATATAGCAAGGGCGTGCTGGCACATGAAGCTGCGTCTACCCCTGCCACACCCGGAGCACACGCTCGTTCCCTTTCTTCAAAGCTCCTAGACAAACTGGCTTCCTGGGTAGCCTAGCCTCTTTCTACCCAGAGACAACCCCTCCTCCACTGTGTTGCTGCATGGTGCCCATTTGGAGAGGAAGCGGCAGCAATGATGGCCAGAACAATGGTGGCTGAGCTCCAGAGCTGAGAGGAAGCCAAGCCTTCACCCCAGTCTCGCTCCTCCACCTGGCTGGGGTGCAAGCAGCCTCATCCTCTGCTGGCAGTACCTCACTTGGGTAGAATCTCCTCTTCTACCTTGGAGGAAACTAGAGGCCTCTGGGAGCAGCAGCAGCTACTCTGGGCCAGTCTGCCTCTGGCTGAGATATGGGGGTCCTGGACACATCTTGTGTTGAGATGACTGCAGCCAGGGTGTCCAGGCTGTGTGCTGCTTGTGCCTTGAAAGATATGTCAGGGCACCAGCTCTAACAAGGGCTTCATTCCCTGTTGACAACGACACTGGCCCTTCTGCACGACCCGCTGCTACCCTCGTACCCGTGGGCTGTCGAGTTTCCTTCTAAAATCCAAATTTGCACATTTATCACTCGGCCAGAGTCCAGTTTGACAAAAACATTTTCAAGTGGGCAGCATTTGATATTTTCTCTCTCACTAGCAAATGCTTCTCTAATTGCTCTGCCTTCTCGGAGTTCCTGCCAGGCACCCTGGAGGAGTCCTGGGGGAGCCTTCGATCAAGGTTGTACCTGTTTGGAAAGCCGCGGGTGTCTTTTTATTTTTGGCCCTAGTAATCTCTGGCTCGTAGGTGTTGAGGGATCAGGAATTTTCCAGTCACTCCACTGCACATGCAGGACAGCTAAGCAGGGCCACAGTCTAAGCTCAAGCTGTAGCCTCCTGCCATGTGGCTTTTCCTCTCGAGCCTCACAACTGCTCTTGAATAAACAATTTCAAAATCACATACGGACCTATTGTTAGCCATGCCCTTAAGGTCCTACTGCCTGCCTTTTGAGGACTAAATCAGTCCCAGTAGGTGACCCAGGGGCTGCTGTTGTGAGAGCATGATTGCCATTTGCTGAGGAGTAGATGAGAAGGCAGATGAAGGCTCCTGGGCCAGTCTGAACAAACGCTTTTCCAGTGTGGTGGGGCTGGAGTCTCCAGCTTGTAGTTACTCTTCAGCGGGCAGCTCTTCGGGTTCTCCTGGCCTCAGCCACTCAGCTGCAGGAACTAAATTCATATCCAAGGGGCCACTGTGGGAACAGTCCCTGTCAGAACCAAGGCACCTGAAGCTGCTCAGTAGGCAGCTGTCACTGCTGTTGCTAATTCTTCAAATGGCACTGAAGGAGCTGGCAAGGTCCTGGCTTGTCCAGGGCCTGGAGTCACAGGCTGCTTGGGGGCTGATGACCCCAGTCAGCAGGACCCAGTGCCCATATGGTTTACACTAGTCAGTGACACTGCATCTTACCCGTGGAAAGCGTTCCCCTCGGGCTTTCCCTCTAGAAAACGTCTTCAGAGTATTTAATCATAGCCCAGGCATTAGTCCATCACCTGTAGGAGATGCCATATCCTTACAGAACCAAAGAGCTCCTTGCCTTGGGTTTCATGGAAACCATTTTAATTTTCTTAAACACAGTGGTTGTCTAAAAGAGTGACTTGCTGCTTGTCTTAGTTGACTTTCTCTGCTAAGATAAAAACACTCTAACCAAAAGTGAACTGGGGAGGAGAGAGCTTATTACAGTTTACAGGGTACAGGTTATCATCAAAGCCAGGGCAGGAGCTCACAGCAGATATCATGGAGCTCCCACTGGCTCCCA